TGCATTGCACGTGCATAAAACTTAGTGTCTATTATTACTAAAAGGATTTTTGCATATATAGCCTCAAATCTTGTATTTGAAAAATTGTCCTCTAAAGTTTAGTATTTGCAAAACTATCCCTAAATTCTCTCATTAATTTTTCATACCTTTCCCTTAACAATATTAGTTTTCAAAATAATTTTTTTTGCAAATCCATTGGAATCTATTTTGCACAATAACTGGTGGGCCCAACCCTCACACACATGATGGGTCCTAAGTCCTAAGTGGAGGACTGGTTATTAGGAAATCCTAAGGCAGCAAAAAATGAAACAGTTCAATTTCTATCAAACTCGACTACCCCGAGTTCGAGCGAAAGTGGCCAATGTTATACCCTAAAAAAGTACCAACTTAAGCAAATCCCTTAAGTTAGCCACGTGTCAAACTAACAGGACGAGTCACATGACCAAAAGGCCTGACTTTGACATAAACATATCCTGACCAACCAAGCCGACATTTCTAACAGATAAAGTCCAAGACGATAGACGACTTTGAGTCATAATTCACTAGAGAAATTCAAGTCCTTTAGTTGGACTCGAACTGGGAAACATCCAAAAGTAAAAGACAACCATCTATCTCATCATGTTGTTTGCATTAAATGCATGGCCAATTGATGACCATACTCCACCGCCCAATCGCCATTAATGTTAAATGTATGGTTAAGCGTCATAATGACTCCTTAGACGTAGCCCGTACTTCCGTCATTCCATCTCTATCATATTAAATGCGACGAGCGACTCTCCAAAACGCCTACGTCAGCCTGCTTCGTCGGTCGGGTCGGATTACCAACGTGCCCCCAAGATTTCATATAAATAGTGGCCATTTCCACTGTACTTAAATATGTTCACAAGAAACCCTAAACTAGATTTTGTATTCTCTCTTCAAATTGCTTTATCTATCACTGACTTAAGCCCCAGAGGATTCTCCTTTGGCACTCTAACATCTGTTAGTTGTGCATGCTGCTCAATATTCTCCAAAACACATTAGTCATTAAAAAAGATTAGGAGATCCTAAACTCCTCTAAATATCCCTTTAATCACAAATTAACTTACTGACATCAACAATAGCTTAAAGGATGGACAGCTTTTCTTGTTATTGTTTTTGTTTAGAGTGTTTTATTGACTAATTGTTAGTGAGATTGGAGCATTTGTTTTGGGTTAGGTGATTTTTCTGTACCTATCCTCTGTCTTTTTGAGCATGAAGTGAGTCTGTTAAAAAAAAGACTAATTAGATCCGTTGACACACACACAGACACGCACACGCACACAAGCGCGCGCACACGCACACGCACACGCGCGCGCGCGTGCGCACGCATACATATATATATATATATATAT